AGAGTACACATCAGTACTGATATAATTTCTGATTTATGCCCACTGAAGCAGTGACATTATTATTTAAACCATTTGATAATCCTTTTGAATGCAGTCAAAATAAAATTGAAAAAACTTATCTTGATATATCTGACACAAAACGCTACTGTCAACCAATAACTCAGCAAAAAAATGTCAAGGAAAAATTTAAACTCTTGTATTACATCAGTACTGATAACTCTCAGTCGGCAGTACAAAAGGCATAGTAATAACAAACACACCAGTGAACGACTGGAAAAAAATCATTTTGAAAAAACAAAGCTATGCCTGATCCTACCAGTCCCAATTCAGAAAGACCATCAGTACATAAAAAATAATTACCTCAAGAAAATTCGAATATAATACATCCTGTACTGGTGAAAATCTAATTTATCTGTAAAAAATACTCACGGGTTATCTTGATATAAACAATCCTTTAAAAAATATGAAAATTGTTTTAAAAAACCATTAGCACCACACATAGTATCGCTGGTATTTGGTACGTTCAATTACACTTCAATCACCAGTCCGAGTACGACAGTAGAGGAGTTCAGACCTCCACCAACACCGACACTGACACGTGCAAGTGGGATAAGCAGCTGATAAGTACAGCTTGACTATACGAATCGGTGTCACAGTAAAATGCCATCATCACCACCGCAGAGACGTGCAAGTGGGGTTTTGCAGGTCATAAGTACAGCTTGACAAGACTAGTCAGTTCAACAGTAAAAACCATTTAACTTGGACGGTTAGTTCTTCCACGCCACCACCCACGCCACCCACTGGGCGGTTGCCACGACGAAGTGCAAACGGTGACCCCCATGACCACTACACACACGCCCCCGACGAACCGCCTCCCACACACCACCGTTGGTGCACTGAAAAAATACCCCATTGTCTTCCATCTCTCCCTCGTTCCCACAAACCACCATTGCCGCTTCCATTTCCACTGCACACAAACCTCCAGCGTCTCTCTCCAAAGCCCACAGTTGCCGGAGGAAGGCCATGGCGGAGGAACCGTCCGCCAAGCGTCATCATGCCAAGACGTCGGACAAGAGGAGCAACCTCGTCGACATTAACGTTCCCGGCAAGAAGCGCGACTACACCTGAATGCTCAAAGGGGTTGAGCTCCACGGCAAGGAGACGTTGGAGATCGTCTGCACCAGCGAACCAGACAAGGCCGACGAGGTGATCTCCAGGCTCTGGAGGAAGCTTGGCGGCAGGATTCGTAGGATCATCGACGTTGGTGTGCACTACACCAACGAATATGAACCTCCCCAGATGGCAGCAGTCCTGCAGTTGTGCATCGACGAACTCTGCTTGGTGTACCACATCGCAGCGGCCACAAAATGGTGAGCAATCCTACTCATTTGCCCTGCATATGGTTTATCTGTTTTATTAGTACCGTATCCTGAAAATTTAATCACACTTGTTTCCCAACTAGATGTACTAGTGTGGTTTGTGAAAAGTGGCTGCACTACTGCATTTTCTCAAGTAGATATACTATAAAATGTATTTTTGAACCTGATACACTGGATTACTATTTGGAAAATCTTGCGGAAGATTAAATTCTGAAGTTGATCGACTAGTGTAGTTTCTGGAGTTGATACAATAGAGTAGTCTATGCACTCGATGTATTAAAAAAGATATTTCTGAACTTGATGTAGTGAAGTATTTTCTGAATTTGATGTAATGTTATTTTCGTAAGAAAATAAACTAAGGACTTGGTGAAGCACTGGTTCTGTGTTATCCTATTTCAACAAAAGTAGACTAAACATGCGGAACATACAACATTGACTGAAACTATGTATAATCCAAGAAGAAGAATAACATGATGTACTTAATTTAATTTCAAAACATTCTTTACTAGTTTTTGAAGTACGTTCATCCATTGTTTATCCTACATAAACAACTACTTCATGGATTCATCACTTGTAAAACAAAACAAAAATGGATAATTCAAACATCAAAGTAATGCTAATATTCAAAATGTCGCTGCCCTTGCAGGCCCAAGCGCCTGACCGACATGCTGTAGCATGACAAGTTGTTCACATTTGCCGGTTTCAGCATTGAAAGCGACAAAGAGAAGCTGAAGTTGTCCGGTATAGAGATCAACCCCAACAAGTTCATAGACATTCAGCGCAAGTGGAGAGTTCCATACACCGGAAAAGAGTACGACTCCTTGACTGATGTTGCAGCCAGCATCATCCACCCATTCTACAAAGGCATGAAGAACAAGATCAACACGCAGGAAGACTACAAACTGTGGGGGACAAGCGAGCTGCCAGACAACCTCATCGAGTACGCAGGAGTAGATGCGTACGCCGCGTATAAGTCATGGTTCATGATCGACTACATCACAGATGGTTCGGAATTTGTGAAAGAGCGAGAGGCTAACAACTTCTACGACCACCCCTATTGCCCCTTTACGGGATGAAGATACATCAGAGCACGCCTTCGTTTTACTTCCGCTTGTGCTTGCCTTTTATCTTGTTGTTTCATATTAGTATTTTGCTCTTGTTGGGTTGAACCAGTATGATTATGTCGTGCTTGTCATGTTTGAACAAGTTTAGTTATGTCATCAAGTACAATGTTTTGCTTATCTCATTATATAAGTTTGGTTTGGTAGCTTCGTATGTTGTTAATCCATCATTTCAAAATTGAAAAAGTAGCTTCTGAATGGAACATTGTCGTTGCTCTAAAGTACTAGTTATGATGCAACTAATCACACAACGTTGTTCCATGTCAGTACAACTCAGTACACTTGATCATACATTACATACTTACTACAATAAAAAGTACAAAGAAGCATCAGTCCGTAAGCGCTACTATGAATGCACTATCAGTACAACTCAGTCTACATGCAAGTACCATAGTTCTGGAAATGACACCAGAAGACACTTGAGAATAATCACAAAAACAAACACAAAAAAGAAGGCAAAAAACTCAAATGAAAAAGATTGCACTCACACAAAACTGACAAGAACTAGAACAAAAAGTATGAGTCCAAGTTACTGGAGGAGTCAAGTACTAGATTCAAACAAAACAAAAAAATTGACCGCCCAAGGTCAGGAGCAGGCCCTGACAATGCTAGATACTTGAACTCGAGCCCGTGGGCGAATCCCTAGTAATCCGCACAACGCAGGACCCGTCGACCAGGGCCCACAGGTCAAGAGAGAGAGCGAGCGCCGTGTATAAGCACTCAGGTAAGTGTTTAGAGGAGTTCGACTGGTGAGCGTCGGCTGCGCTTATAAACAGGTTCGAAGCCCCCTCGACTAGCAAGGTGGGACTAAACCCAGAGCGCACGCGCACGACGCACTGCACAGGCGCGCGGACGAGCTATCTGGGCCGGAAAACGGCCCAATAGCCTCTACATCGTCAACAAAACACCCCACCAAATAAGCCCGGCTATACAAACCAGAGGGCGGGACAAAGAAATATAAACCACAAGAAAAATGTTTGTCAATTAACCTCTACAAGAAAAAAGGAAAAAATATGATACAAAAACAATGAACCTCTAAAAAGAAGAAAACTTAATAGCCTTTCTGTTAAATGTACATAATTTAAAAAACAGAATTAAATATTACTTTCAAGTTCAACTACTAAAACTAAAAAAGTTCAAAACATATAATGTTTGTCAATTATGCTAAAATTCTTATTTATATAAAAGCTAACAAGTTCAACTACTAAAACTAAAAAAGTTCAAAACATATAATGTTTGTCAATTATGCTAAAAATCTTATTTATATAAAAACTGACAAGTTCAACTACTAAAAATCTAAAAGTTCAAACATATAATGTTTGTCAAATATGCTAAATTTCTTATTTATATAAAAACTGACAAGTTCAACTACTAAAATTCAAAAAGTTCAAATAGAATTTATTTGTCAATTCTGCTAAATTTATTATTTATATATAATCTGTCCACACCACAATGAACGATTTGCTCGTAAAATAATCTCAAACCCCCACCCCCAACCTAAGTTATAAAAAATCAGTTCAAACATACATACAACATCAGTACTAAAACAGCAGGATCAATCAGGCCACTCGCAACACTGTGACATCAATTTTCAAACCCATGCACTGTTTGAAATTACAATTCAGTTCACACAGTACTAAAACATAAGTGCAGTAAAAATGAAAATACAAAAACTATAAAGGCCTAACTTAGGTTTGTACAGATGAAAATAAAATAAGTACAAGTTTTGAGCAACAACTCCCAGGGCACTGAAAAAATGTTTTGACATACACTAGTGTATAAAGGCTTCAATAGAAAAACAATACTTAAACATCCACACAGAAAAACATCACAAATCCATACGTCACCTAAACAGTGCAAAATGCCATCATCACAACCACAGAGACGTGCAAGTGGGATTTAGCAGATCGTAAGTACAACTTGACAAGACTAATCAGTGCACCAGTAAAAAACATTTGTCTTGGACGGTTAGTTCTTCCAGGCCACCACCCGCGCCACCCACTGGGCGGTTGCCACAACGAAGTGCAAACGGCGACCCCCACGACCACTACACACACGCCCCCGACGAACCGCCTCCCACACACCACCATCGGTGCACTGCAAAAAAAACCCATTGTCTTCCATCTCTCCCTCGTTCCCACATAGCACCATTGCCGCTTCCATTTCCACTGCACACAAACCTCTAGCGGCTCTCTCCAAAGCCCACAGTCGCCGGAGGAAGGCCATGGCGGAGGAACCGTCCACCAAGCGTCATCATGCCGAGACGTCGGACAAGAGGAGCAACCTCGTCGACATTAACGTCCTCGGCGAGAAGCGCGAGTACACCAGAACGCTCAAAGGGGTTGAGCTCCACTGCAAGGAGACGCTGGAGATCGTCTGCACCAGCGAACCAGACAAGGCCGACGAGATGATGAGTAGGCTCAGGATGAAGGGCGGCGGCTTGTATCCGAGCTTCATCGGAGTTGATGTGGAGTACATCGACGAGGAAAAACCTCCATAGATGGCGGCAGTCCTGCAGTTGTGCGTCGAGGAACTCTGCTTGGTGTACCACATCGCAGCAGCCACAAAATGGTAACCCATACTACTGTTCATTCATCTGTTGTACCAGTACTAGTCACTAAAAACTTAATTAAAAATTGTTTCCCAACTAGATGAACTACTATAGTCTATGAAGTGGACACACGATTACATGTTTATCAAGTTAAATGCATTTCTGAAACTGTGAAGTGGATTGTTTCACCAGATTAGCATCTGAAAAAAAGTTTATAGCATTCTGAACTTTATGCACCAAATTAATTTCTGAACTTGATGAACTAGCATAGATTCTGATCTTGACGCACTAGTATAGTTTATAGAATTGATGTATTAAAAGATCTTTGGTGAAGTGGTATAGGTCCATATCTTGATGCACATGTTTCTCAAACTAATTTTTGAACTTGATATAGAATTAATGCACAAAGAAGTATCAAGCACTGGTATAGGTCTTTTATTCAACAAAAAAGAAAACTAAACTTGAATCAAGCAGCGCATCTATCATTGACTCTGGTAAAATGATTCTCTAATTTGGTGAAGCATTTGGTAAAGCAAAAGAAGATAGCAAAAAATAAAAAATAACACGATGTAGTTGAATTTAATTTCAGGACTTTGTGTACTAGTTTCTGAACTACATTCATGCATGACTCATAATATATAAGCATCTACCTCATGGATTATCACTTGTAAAACAAAAAAAAACAGAAGAATTAAATCCTCAAAAAAGAAGACTAATCTATAAATGTGTGTCTCCCCCCTTGCAGGCCCAAGCGCCTCAAAGACTTCCTGCGGGAGGAGAAATTGTACACATTTTTTGGTTTCAGCATTGGAGGTGACAAGCGGATGCTGCAGGAGTCTGGTTTGGAAATCAACCCCAACAACTTCATCGACATGCAGCGCAAGTGGAAAGATCCAAAGACTAGAAAATACTACGACTCCTTGGCCGATGTTGCAGGCGGCATCATCCACCCATTCTACGAAGGCATGAAGAAGAAGATGAACAGGGCAGACCACAAACTATTGGGGAACAGCCCGCTGCCAGACAACCTCATCACGTACGTAGGAATAGATGCGTACGCAACGTACAAGTCATGGAAGACAATCGACAACATCGTGACAGGTTGGGATATTTCAAAAGAGCAGGAGGCTGACCCCTACTACCACTGCAACTTCGCGGATGAACATGCATGAAAGTCTGCATTTGTTATGTTGAACCAGCTACCTTATGATGTGTGTGTCCTTAGTATTGTTGTTTCAGATTTGTAGTTTGCTTTCGTTATGTTGAACCAACTACCTTATGCTATGTGTGTCAGGGTTTGAACAAGTTTTCCTATGTCTATCAAGTACATCGTTTGCTTATGTCGTCCAACAAGTTTGCTAGCTTCCTATTTTGTTCATCCATCATTTGAAGTTGAAGTAGGTTGAAGTTGAAACTTGATGGCTGCCACGCAGCACTAGTCATGGAGAAAAAAAATAACACATGAATATTTTCGCAAAAACAAAAAAAAAGTGGCAGACTAACTAAGGACAAAAGCAAATAGTAGCCTTCGACGCTCAGTACAGCTTAGACATGAACGCTAGTACTATCACGCTAAAAAAATCAGTTTTTAGTTTCAGACGAACACTAAAAAAACTAAGTTTCAGCCGAGGACAACATTGAGTACTAAAAAGCATCATGGTAAAAAGTAGTTAGAAATTCACTGAGTACTGCATCAGGAAAAGCAAAGAAACACCAGTACGTATTTCCTAGTCACTAGCATCCTAGGACTGAAAAGTTCTAGTACAGTTGAACACACGGTACGTTCATTGTACAAATATATAAAAAGGAACGGGAAGCTTCAGTTCGCATTCCTTAAAACAGTGACATACTAAGAATTAACAGTGGCAATACAACTGAAATCTCAGTACAACATAGTCTATACAGCAAGTGCTAGGATTATACCAAACATTGCCTGGAGAAGAACCACAACCTAGAAAAAAAGAAGGCCAAAAACTAAATCAAAAAAATATAAATTCAACAAAAGAGAAAAATCACAAGAAACACAACAGAAGACATGCTAGCATCAAACAACACAAACAATAAATAATTAATCAAAAGTACTAGCACAATTGGAATCTCAGTACAACTAAGTTTATTCGGTAAGTGCTATGATGATACCAATTAATGCATTGAGAAATAAATAGTTTTGATCTTAATAGGAATATCTCTTAAACGTAGCTAATTTAAACCAGTACTTTAACTCTTACTATGAAGTTCAACTACTAAAGTTCAAGAAGTTCAAAAAGAAATTTGGCACTAAAATTTTGAAAGCCTTACGCTGAATGAGACTTCAAATCAGTACTAACAGAACTATATCATAAGTACAAGAAAACGAGAGTACAGAAACTATAAAGGTCCAAGTTAGGATGGAATCACATAAAAATAAAATAAATCTCACTTTCTGAGCAACAACTCGAAAATACACTTGGAAAAAAATTGTTTTCAGTTCAACTACTATATAAATCTTTAGTACAAAAAAAACTTAATCAAAACGAATTCCTGATGAAACATTGTGCCACACTTAAAACACAACACAAAATGTACTAGTTATTACATAGTACTCGACAAGACATCAAACACTACAAAATAGAGCCTACAATGTTTTCAAGAGATATATCACACAACTACCCAATTCACTATGCAAATGATGACCATTTATCCTATGCATCAGGAGCCAAAGCCTGAACCTCCTTGGGAAGCTCCGTCACCATAAGATGGTTATTATGATTGAACACAACTCTATACAGATCCTCAGCGTTCCAATCAACAATTCGTGGCTGCAAAACAATAAAAAAATTATCAAAAATCATGACACATAAAAAAAGGATGCACAATAAGCCAAAAACAAAAAGTGAAAAGCTCAACAAGAAACCCACGTCATTATCTCGAATGTTCTCAACGATCTTTTCACCATCATAGCATCCCGCATACTTCAGAGTATAATGGCCACATTCATTCGGCCCTTGAACTAGAACCTTGACAAACGTTGGTTTCTTTGCAAACAGCTCCCAATTGGGCTGCTTGCTCGCATTGTACTGAGCATCACCATACACAACCTTCATTACTTTGACCAATCTAGAAATCTGTAAAAAAACAAAACAACCCACACAGTTTTAGTTCTCAGAAACAGCAGAAACAAAGATGAAGAAATATTAATCCAGTATAGATAATAAATGTCACTCACAATCTTCTCGCAGTCTTTGTGATAGGTGTTCTTCGAAGGACGGTGGTTCTTCGGATAAGTTAAAGAGTCAAGGATGTCAACGCTACTTCGGTACCGATTCATGACATATAAGGAATAGTGGCTCACTTTCCTATCCTTTGATAAAACCATAGGCTTGAATAGAGGCATCATGATCTAAAAACAAATGACCAAAAAAGAGATGTTAAATATTCAAAGTAAAAACCAGCATCACAACAAACAAATAAAAACCAAAAATCAGCTAGTAGATCTCACAAGGTCGGCATTGAGCAAGTCTTCATTAGCTTTAACATAGCTCTTGAAATCTCTCGCTGCACTCTCCACAATAAACACTTTATTTTCATCCTCGTAAAACGAACAGTCAAGCACAACCTGCAAAAAAGCCAAAATAGAAAATTGACAGCGGAAAAAGAATCAACAAGCAAAGTATTATTAAAAATTGTAAAAACAATAGACAGTCTTCTTCAACATAAAAGAAACCAATCTGATTGATTACCGTGATGAAATATGGACTCAGCAATATCCTTTTCCCAGATGCGAAATCAGCATTTCTATCAGGATCTTGCTTCCAATCATCAATGAGGAAGTTAATTACATCACCCTCCATCATTTGCCTAGGTGAAAAAACTTCCTAGATGCGATTCCCAGTGAAGTTAGTTACGTTTCCATCAGGCTGAGGTATCATTGAGAATGTATTCCTGCAGCAAACGCAAGAACAAAAAGAAGGAGAAGCAAGATAAGGCATTCATAGCAGTTCGAGTTGTATAAAAAGGAATAGTTCAGGCCATATTTATCTAGCAGTTACAAACAACAAAAGAAAAGGAAGAGGAAAAAATAATGAGAGATACTCACTCGCCATACTTCTCATGCCATTTATTACTAAGCAACAGATTATACAACCTGCGAGCCTTGTCCAGGTGAGGGAATTTATAAGGGTGAAGCTGCTGCACAGGGGAGCAAAACTTTATAGGAGCTCTGGGCGCACGCTTCGTGCTTACAACATTGCCAGAATCCAAAGCGGGATCTTTCCTAGCACCACCAGCTCTACGAGCCACTATTCCAGCAAGGGGAGATAAACCTTTGGCAGCAGCGCTCCTCATGACTCTTCCAATGCCAGCAACCTTGTCAAACACATCATCATCACTGTCTATCAATTCCACAATGGGATTCTTGGGTATAGTAGGGCTATCTGCACAAGCAGCCGAAAACCTCTCAGAGCTCCCAACCGCCCCTTCATAACACCAGATCTTGTCTTTTCGGGAGAATGCCCCTGGCTAAGATCAATAGCTACGCGCTCGAGCTCCAAGAACTGGCTACCAAAGAACCTGTAGTCAAGCTCACCAAGATCCAGCCACTCACCTTGAAAAAAATAAGACCGCACAAAGTGTAAGTTCAAATACATATTTCATGAAAGTACTAATAGAGAAGTACAAGCTGCAAAAAAATTACAAAAGTCCATGCACACGTACAGGGTTCGATGCCAAACAAACCCCGGAAGTCAACATCAAACACATCGCTAGTTGTGCAGGTATACAGCAAAGTCTTCCTAATGTCCAAAATGTCTTCATGGCTGTAATCGGCCATTTCAATTACACCATCCTCCCGGCAATAATAGGTCTTGCAGTTTTGTAGCATAAAGAATCCACAATCATGCCTGTAAACAAAGGAAAAATCAAAAAAATGGTACAACACAAAATCCAAAAAATATAGGAACAACATCCTCTATCAACAAAAACAACCAGCAAAAATCATTAAAAACGGATACACACGTGTTTTCCTGCTGAGGCACCCACACAAACTCGCAAGAGAAACCATCAATATGCGCCAGTGAGAACGGTTTGGCCCTGTCTACACTGGACTCCCTCCAAAGCTTCTTTATATTATCTGTCATATTCCTTAAGAATCTAACTGCATCACCACAGGTTTCATCACGGAGTGAATCAAGACACTCGAAACGACGGAACTTCAAATTCAGAACAACCAAGCACCAATGCCCAGATACTTCACTAGGCTTCATGGTAGCCACAAATGACGGCGGATCAAATGTAGGGAAAAGAAGCTGGAAAAAATCGCAGAGGAAAATGAATTTACCAAATAATAAAATAAAAGAGGGAAATTGAAATTCATAAGTACAAACAAAAAAATCAAATAATCATAAAGAAAATTATATCCACCGCCCAAAATTGAGGAACAATCATATTAGTTCAATTCCCTTGCAACAATAAGTACAGCTTTAATAAAAGAAGCACAGATCAAGTTCATTCCCCACACCTGCCAAAACTGCAAAGAAAACATGACAGTTCTAGTTAATGAGTACAAAAAGTCCAAGTTCACTTACTTGGTCAAAACCATCAGCACCTGATCTTGTGAACCAATTTAGCGCATTGGAATCAATATTTCCATCACGGATCTTGGTCTATTGTACAAAAAGAACAACAATAGTTAGAAAATTGGCAAAACAAGTTATCATCCTATTTACAAAAAAAGCAAAATACTGACCGTCACCCATCTGGGAACTATCAACTTGTCAGTGTCTCAGTACTTCTGACGTAGAGAATATAAAACAACATCAGCACTGTCTGAGTTGAGCATGCCAGTGGGGACAAACGCTTTAGCAATAGAACCAACACTGGCATCACATTCTTTATTTTGAAACATCGGCTTGTGACTAGAAAAACACAAAAGATTACATGAATTAAAACTACTGCAACAACAACAAATAATCAAACTAGAGAAAGAAAAGGAGACAAAAAATGGTACGGGCAAAATCCCAAACTAACCATTTCGTACGGTTTGTGTGCAACCTCGTAACAGCGAAGAAAAACGTATCAACCTTAACAACACTAGAAGAACGCCCGTGCGTTGCAACGGTGCCACATTAACTTTAAGAGTTCAATATTAATCATGTTAATAATACATTTAATATTCTCATACATATCAAGTGACACT